AGAAAGCTGTTCTGAGCCCTCAGCCAATTTGTGCTTGTTTGGACGCAGAAGCTAAGTGCACCAAGATCTACCCAACCATGAGAGGATTTTTTTTGCAATGTGCAAATCGAGGCTTAGCTCTACCATCTGTCGGACTCAGAGTTCAGCTTGTGGCCCGAGGTGTACCTGGCCAACCTTTGCTTGCACCACACCTCCGACATGGGCTGTGCCCTGGCGGAGGCTCTCCGCGTGCTGCGGCCCGGCGGCCGCCTAGGGGTGGCAGAGGTGGACACAGAGGAGCCGGGGCCGCTCTTCGACATGATGGAGCAAGCGAGGACCCGGGACCGGCTGCGCCTTTCAGTTTCTAGATAGGGCTCAGTTAGAATACTTGGAAACTAAAGAAACAATGGAATGGTTGATCATCAGAATCGTTCGGAAACCAAATTTAGTGATCATGAGAGGATCCTCGATCTTTTCCCCACCAGAAGTTACCCTTGTTTGGGGTGGTTGTAAGCAACCCACCCTTTGGGGGCTCAAAGGGAAACCAAAAAGAAACCAAGCATTTTGGGGCTCCCGAATTTTAAAGTCAAACGCAGATAGACCTTTGCTGGGCATCGCCCAGTTCGGCTTGTCTCCAAATGGAAGTACGAACTTTCGTCAATGAGCCGTGGTATTTTACAGTATATATACACATTGCAGAAAGAGCCTCCTATTTAAGTTTCCTTTTGTCCTTTGAATCTGATGAGAACGCTGGTGTTGTTTGCACCCTGGCCGCAGGACGGAAGCAGGAATCGACCTCGGAGGCCATGGCCACAGCCACGGCCACGGCCACGGCCACGGCCACGGCCACGCCTGTGCCCATGACGGCCATGATGGGGGCCATGCAGCGCATGCTGGACATGCTTGTGCCCATGAATCTGCACACGATTCGGGTGCGCATGGTGCGCATGGCGGTGCGCATGGCCACCAGGACGGGATGTGCAGTGCTTCCGAGCATGGGCCGTGGAAATCTAGCCGTTTTGGTATGATCTGCGCTGGTCTTGTGCCATTGCGAGCCATTTTTGCACTGGCAGCGAGCTTTGCACCACGTTGGACCCTGCAGTGAGTTCTCTTGTTGCGGCTGCCACAGGCAGGCCTGGTGAGAGAGGTCAGAAAATGTAACACGGTGTCAAGCACATATTGCAGAGACGTGTTTGAATGTACACCGCTAATCACATTGATCATCGTATGATTTTTTCGCCATCGGGCTTTTGTGAGCATATGCTGTTTCATAGCACTGACGTGTCCATTATGCTCACCCCTTGGGTGAAGATCCAACAACCTCACGAGTCGTTTCGACCTCACCCATGAGGCTTTCCTCATAGAAAACCCTTGTGTTAGTCATGTAGTAAAATTTATCCAGACCCGTGTCTCCCTTGGCCTGCTCTCTTTGGTCGCCCGTCTTTCAGGACCGGAACCCTTTCAAGCTGGGATCCCGGGAGGCTGGGCCAGGGGTTGACTCCAGGAAAGCAATCGCACTGGAGGAGGCTCAAACGTCTGACCACTGACTGTGGATGCTTGTGTAATTGTTTTGTGTGTATTTCCTGCAGATGTTATGTCTGTATTGTGTATGCGATTCCTGTAAGAAAAAAATATGTATAGTTGAACTAATATACTGGTAGCAACTGTGTCAGCACAGTTCATTGAAGGCTTGGAAGGGTACGCTAGTCATCGCCAATCCATGGGCGAGATGCCCTTTGGTACTGGAAATTGGCAAAGACCGAGACTGTTAGCACCAAAGGGAACCTGAGGATTCTGCTCTTCAAATCAGGCTCGAGCGAAGGGTGTTGACTCGTAGCTTACCCTTTCGGCAACCCTGTTTAGTCATGCTCCTAAAAGGTCACAGGCTGTTACAAAAACCTGGAGGCGAAAGCTGCGTCACCCGTGTTTTCCCTGGCTTTTCTGCAATTTGTCATCTCTGGCTCATGCTTGGCAGCGAACGGGAGAATTCGGAGAGCACTGTTTTCATGCAGAAATGGTCAAACACCCAATGTGTTTTGCATGATTGCAGTTCAATTGCTCGAAAATCTGAACCAACAAGCTGCAGCCAACGATCTCGGCTGAAATCCTTCTCAGTCGGAAGCCGATGCCTCCACCAAACACATTAGAGAGAAGCTGGGTTATTAGATAGGCTTGCAATGATTGCCACCCTCTGTCCATACATTGAGCCCCCACTATACTGCAAGCGGGTCGTTTGCGTGCTCTCGTCACAGAGACTCTTCTAGCAAGCTCAGCATTGCTGGGATGCACATTGGTGGCTCTCCAGACGCTTGCCAGCATCTGCAACCAACATTGGCCATGCATCAGCCTGTGTGCACTGGCATGAGTGTTCCTGTGCGTGCGAGCCTTTCGTAACGACGGTAACATCCCCCCCCACCCCCCTCCCCCACCCACCCCCCCTCCCCCGCTCACAACTGCAACTCGACACATCATAGCCCAAAAACAGCAATCAGCAAGAAAAGCACCAAAAGTACCAGGTTTTTTACCAGCTTGTTTCCTCCTAAAAGGTTGATGTTTCTGTTCCAGGCCATTTGGTTGTAAATGAGCACAAGCACTGGGGTATATCTTCACGTGTTTTCAAAGTCATCAAAGGAGATCCTTTCCTGATAAGGAATCCATCCGGGAGTCAAAATGTTGGACCCCCTTTTGGTTGGTTCAAATCAAGGAAGACAAGGGATTTTTTAGGGACCAACTATTGCCTGGGAGGCGCTGGTGCAGCGGGTGGCCAACGCGGGCTTCAAGTCGGTGGTGGCCTGGAAGATGCGGAACGTGGCGGAGCTGCGGGACCCCAGGCGGAACGGGCGGAACGAAACGAGGGAGAGTTGCGGTGACTGCTCCCCAACCGGAGATCACGAGGAGGCAGTTCAGTCGAAGCCACTGGCCTTGGGAGTTGTTTTACACCTATGCTTGAGGTCTTGGTTGATAGACTTTTCTATGAGCAAATGGTATGTGTCTACCCCAACAGAGACACCCATGCCGTGCCATGCTGTGCGTTGAGGCAAAATTGTGCTGTAGGCAGTTTCTCAAACGATCGTGACTGACATGAAGAGCAGATATGCATGAAGGAGCGGGTGGACGGGCCTTCTTTTTGGTATAGGCCGCAATTGCTCAATGTCTCCCAGACCCCTAGCCACTTGTTGTTTAGGTCAAGAAACGCTTCCACCATGTATGGAATGTGCACGCAAGCCTGTGGAATCTTCATGAATCACCGTTTGGCACTTAAATATTGTGTCAATACTTGAGTCAACAACAGAAGTATCTCATTTCATGCCCAGCAAACAGTATTGAGACCCTTTGCCTCTGGGTATGCTACAGCGGCAGCTCAGAATTCTCGAGCAGCAATCCGCTTTGGGTTTTCGAAGCGCCGTAGGCGCTTCGCCCAGATGCTGAAGACCCTGGATGCCAAGAAGACCAGCCCGGAGCAGCTCGCGCGCCTGGAGGAGGCAGCCTGAGTCTGGGAGGTCGCGCTCATCGCCGATCGATTGCCTTGAAACGGGGAAACATGAGCATACTACAAGGGCAACTATGACTAGAAAGGGGTTGGGGGGTAACTACATTAAAACCACGTTTGGTCATGATAGGGATAAATTGTTAGTGCCTTTTGAGCCCCTTGTGTCTAGTGTCTGGGTTTTGTATTGTTAACACCCAAAGGTTTCGGAGTGGCTTGAAGGGAAGTCAAAAGGAAAGCCCCCAGTGTTTGGTGATTTGTTTTGACACATGACATACCCAGGTAGATGTGAGTACAAACCAGGTCTTGTCCTAGGGTTGCCAGATGTCAGGCCGCTTTAGCCGTTTCTCTGGCAGCGCAGGAATACTTTGCACGCTCACAACCCGTGCAGTGCGGATGCTTGAGATGTTCAATTGTTTAGGGAGTCTTAGTTGTTGAAAGACACTCTTATATATTTGGTGTACGTCGCGCTCAGGCAGCCGACCCTTCGGAGTAGATATAGGCATGTCGTGTCAAAGCAGGGACTCTTTTGGGGACACGCTTGACAGGGATCAGCATGACGTCAACCATGTTGGAAGCTCTCCTGGTTCCGACGCTTCCCGTATGATAATGACACCCACCATGTCTGGGAATCATGCTTTGGTTGTTGTGATAGTAATGTGTGAGTCCAACACATGTTTGTTCAAAGCTGACTGATTTTGCTCAAATTACAACATGAAGGATAAACTTGCCGCACTTCCATCATGGTTGGGTCACCAATCGAGAGACAAGAGAAGCCTAAAGACTAGCCTGCCAGACGAGCACATTAAAATCACCAATTGGTGTGAGGGTATGGCCCCTGTTGGCTTTGGTCAACAATCACTAAAACGGCTGCCGGGAATGTGACACGCCCTTGCACTTCAGTGCAGCCACAAGTCTGGCATGCGCTGCAAATAGGGAGCTCCAACAAATAAGTCCAGCCGGAACCAGCTGCGCTTGCCGCCAGGCCGGTGCAAGACTTGCAGAGGAGTGCCTGGCCAGTGGCAAGCCAATTGACTTCGGGGTGGTCCTCCTGTTCGCTGAAAAGCCTTGACGTGGAAAGGGCCTGAAGCGGGCCAATGAAGCGGGTCTCAAGTCTGACTCCCGTATTGGGCAGTTGCGATTTTTCGAAGTCCAGCGGTGAACTCTCAGCGCAGGCGACGATGCAGTTGCCAGTTCGCAGCATTTGCCTACTTGTTGTGAAGTTGTTTGAAGAAAACCGTTGTGCTAGGTGGTGGAACTGGGCTGTATTTGAATTCCAGCCCTGCTGCCGCAGCGCATCGATTGGAGTTGTATGGATTCAAAGTGGCTGCCAATGTCTGCAGCACTCATGTTTCAAACTTGCAGGAGGATCCATGAGAAGCTAGCAAGCTTAGCCAGAAAGATATGTTTCCATCAGCTAAAACAGAATACACCAGTCCGTTTGAATTGAAATCCATGTGTCAGAAAGCTGCCCTTGTGCTCTGCTGGGACGTGGCTGGGATCAAGAACGCGGAGTCATGTTTGGGCCGCTGAGGTGAAGACAGCCTGCTGACCCCGGAGTGCGAAAGGCGCAACCTGCTTGCGATTCGAGTTACAGCCTGAGGCGATGAATCTAAAGAACTACAGGACTCCCTATAATGACCCAAACTCCCCATGGCCTTCAACTTCAATGACCGCCAGCTTTGCTTTCGCCTTCCCGGCTTTCCAGCTGCCCCTCCTCATGCACTTGTTTGAATGGCCTAGCTTGGGCCTAGCTTCACTGGAAGATGGCCACTATGTGCAGCCCAACAGGGCCATCAACCTGAGCCTGGTCTTTGGAAAAAGACGCATATTGGACAATGTTCAAGGCGTAGGGCGCGATACTGGACCATATTGCAAGCCAATTGCTGGGCGAGGCAGGGGAAAATTTGTATGCACCAGCAAGAAGAGGGCATTTAGTTCCTCTGACTCTGAAAGCGAGATTTCAACTCCGTTTTGTTTCTCTAAGGCCATATTGCCATGTTGCAGGCTGCGCAGTGCAGCTGCGTCCCAAAAGGCCCTACTTGTGAGTAATTAGGAGTGGAAAAGTGCAGAGACTGTGTGGCAGGGCTGCAATTCAGCCCGTCCACTTTTTCCACGGTCCATGGGTTGCTGCAAATTGGACTGCCGGGTTTGCTTTTTAGACGGTGGCACGAAGCAAGCCGTTGTTTTTTTTTTTTTCTCCGACAAGAACCGCGGAAAGCAGAAAGCAAATCCAATGTGAATGACACGAGGTTCGCTTCTTGTCAATAAGCAGAGCAAAGCGGCTCCAATTGTCATGCTCCCAGACTTGCGTTTGCTGCCATTCGCTGCCAGGCTGGACGACACTGCCGGAAGCCAAGTTTGTTTTGTGCACCCCGCCCCTCTATCGAGTGTTGGACCTGCTTTGCGACAGCTGAAGACACGTTGGTTTGCTTACAGAGCTGCCTTGGCGTGATTGACTGGCAAGCAGAACAAAGTTTCAAGCAGTCGTGAATCGGATAGCTTTGGCGAGACACATCAAATGTTTGTCCTACCAGCTTTTGCCAGTGCTGAGGATGACCACAACATCTTGCGCACCTGGCAAAGTTTGTCTCTGAAAGGGGCAATGAGCGAGCAGTATGATTTATTGGGCTCATCTAGTGATCTTGGGAGAACCTGACAAAGATGACTTTTGTTGAGAACTCTCCATGCCCATGTTCAAATAAGTTTAAGAGTTTGTGTTTCGTACAAATTCCAGCACCCACTTGCCCTTGGTCCATATCTCAAAGTTTTTGGGTGGCAGGAGCCAAAGGCGCCTTCAAGAGCCGTCCACGCGGAGGCGTTTGGCCCCAGCACCAACCTGCGCCAGGGCCGGCGTGGACATGTTTGCCTTCGCGCCTCTCGACCGAGTTGCTCCGGAGACCGAGGTACGCAGATGCAGATTTGAAGCCAGTCGAACGTGCCGGGTGGGTCAAAGTAGGTAGCACAACTACCCCATTTTGGTTTAACTCATCTTCACCCTTTACTTAAGCACCCTGGTGCAGGTGGGAGGGGGGTTATATAATTACTGCCACTGGAGACAAGGTCTCTTTCAGTCAGCTTGTGACTGGGGTAGCGTGCTATGTTCGGCGAGGCAGACTTGGGCAACTATGTGCCGCCTTGAAACTGGAGGGTTGCTCTGTTTCTGGTATCACTAAGTGAGCAGCTTGAGCAGCTCGCACCGACGGGTTTTGGAAGGCACTCATCAGACGCTCATCAGTTTTCACATGCCCCCAAGATAGGTCAACAAAGGGAATCAATATCTTTGTGACAAGTAGCAGTGTAGTTTGTTCATGGAATTAGGCTTCAATGAAGTTTGGGGTTGTGAGAGACATACAGATGAAAGCCCGTTTCATGAGGATGCAGTGTGAAATTCACAGACTGAAAACCGAGGTCAAAAAACATGTCATGACTGGTTGCATCCCCCTTGCCCCCCCCCCAATAGGCCCGTGCAGCCCAAGAGCCCATTCAAGAACATGAGATTCGGTCAACATGTTTGGCAGTCTATGGTCCCTCTGGGAGAGACATGGGGAATAGCAACAGCATGGAACAAGAAGCCCAGAACCCTCCTTAGTCCCACATTGGCCTCGCCACAGGAGGGAGGCTTCATGTTTGCTGCACCCAAAGAGAGTGCTCAACAAGGAGCATCCATGATATGTAGTAAACATATTCACTGATATACCAGGGCTTTGTGAAGCAGCAGGGGACTCCCCTCCATGTTGGAGTTCTGACAGAACCTGCCAACGAGAGGCGAGGCTCTTGTAGGGGTTCCGAGCAGGTGGCGTCAGTAGTTTAAATGTTGAGGCTAGCCAATCAGGAGTTGGCTCAGTTGTTGGATCGGGATTTGGTACTTGAAGGCTCGAGAGTGTGCTGTGACCACCAAACTAAGAAGGAGCAGATTTGAGGCTAAACACCAGACAACCATCCTCCTCAAAGAAATGTACATTGCATGACCCCTCAAGCAACAATTGGCCTTTCTCAAAACCAAGCTGATACACTGAACAAGTATAGGGTGCATGAAGTCATACCAACATCTCACGCAGATGGGTGGCAAACAATTACGAGACATATGTGCAGTTGGGCAAGTTAGGTATGCTTCCAACTGGCTTCGTCCATTTTCCTCAAAAGCTATCGACAAGATCCCCAGTTCAGATCTGGCCCGCTCTTCCTGGGGCAGCCGTGAGCCCTGGTCGCCATGGGGCTGAAAAGCCAGCGACAGAAGCAGGCGAGAAAGGACCTCACGGCTCAAGTCCATTAGCGGTTCGCCACGTCTGGAAAATCCACCCCTTCACATGGTTGGTGTCATTCTGGAGCCTCTAAGAAAAACAATATATCTGTATAATACACGTACTAAACCGGGATGATAAATTTTGGCTCAAGACGATTCGGTCTTGTTTGTTGGCGCATATGTTTGTTTGTTTGTTCTTTGCTTGTTTGTTTGATTGGTGTTTTCTTGCATCATTGTTAGCTTGTTTGTTTGTTTGTTTGTTTGATTGCTTGCTTGCTTGCTTGCTTGCTTGCTTGCTTGCTTGCTTGCTTGCTTGCTTGCTTGCTTGTGTTTGTGTGGGTGTTTATGCGTTCGTGTCAGTTGTCGTTGCGTGTTGTTCTGCGTGTTTTGTGTGTGTGCGTTTGTGTTAAAATCAGTGCCTTTTGGATGGCAAGCGCCCTTTTCGCCTTCCTAGAACTCCCACCACGAAGAGCGACCGAAGGTTTGGCACACTCCCATATGAGATAGGACCCATCAACCCAAGGACTGTCACATGATCGTGGCTCATATGAGTGGATGTTCCATTCTGGGCGGTGATTGTGCCATTTTATGTGGTGCGGATCAACACTAGATACAACAGCCGTGCGGGTGGCTTAGAACTAATGCTTACCTTGTGTCTCCTCCTAATGCAAGATGCGACCTTGCGTGCGAGATTTGTGCCTGGCGTCCAGCGGTACATGTCTCGTGTTGCGTTGTCGGGCGCATCCTGGAAAACTGAGATGTGAATCTGACCAAACGACACTTGGTCCACTGTTGATCAGGCCCTTCCATGACGAGTGTCGGAATTAAGGGCCCTTTTTGGTATCCACATATCCCCTTTCAAAGGCGGCACAATCATCCAACACGCGGGGCCATATGTTTGAAAAACCCGTCGACATTTGTTTGCTTCCATAAACCAAGTTGCACCTCAGGCCCTTGGATAGGTGTCGGAATTGATTCCTGTGGCTCAGAGGAGGGTCCCAACATGGGACCACATTTTGGTTGGGGCAAGCGAAAAATCAATCTGGAAGCAACCATTTGTGGCGGGTCCACCATTTCCCCTGCTCCGCTGGAAAGTGTGTTTTGTGGCGGGTTCTGGCATTATTCCAAGTTCAACCACTTAGGGTGCTTTTTGGACGGTACTTGAGGGTTGGAACGGGGCAAACAACAGTCATTGTGGGAGTGTTCATGGCAGTTGGATACTGACTTGAGCCCTGACTGCTAGGCAAACCTCAGATATTTGACAAACGCCCACACAAAGGTTGGCTGAACTTCTTTTGACCTGAGTGCCACACAGCCAAACAACGGCACTTTCTGCTCCCACTCATTTTTTTTTGTTGAATAGATGCCCTGCCAATTTCTACGAGACCGGTGTCTGCCTTTCCAAGTCAGCACTTCCCAGTGAGCACCTCCCTCTTGTTTTCAGACCCTCCCACGTAGGAGCTGAAGCGAACTCTACGCTCCTCGGAGCTATGCCCCCATTGCTCCTCGAATAGATAGAGGAGAGAGCCCGACATTGCTCATGTTCTGTCTGCAGCGCATGAATTGTTGCGGGGAGCCTTCTGTCAAAGAATGCCGAGGGAGGAGCCAATACTTTTTTCCGCAGATACGAACACTCGTGGAGGGGGATACCCCTTGTCAGTTGGGAGGGAGGTTTACTCCTAAACACCGCACAGAGCGATACACAGAACATTGTGAAGAAATATTGAATGTGTCGTAGCCGTAAATTAGTATTGGGGCCCTTCTTCCAGCGTTTCGCAGCTGTGGGCCTGTCTCCACCTGCCTTGTTGTATCTCTTATGTTGTTTGCTAGGACATGCTAGGACGCTTGGCACTGGCAGGGGTCCCCGTTTCGAAACGACCCAACGCCTTGTGTCATATCTATAATATAAACTATCTCGGAGGACTGCGCGGCTTATGGCTGCCTCATTCTGCTGCAGTTGGCCTCAGAATGGTAAAGGCCTGCCCCCTCCGTTAATTGGCAACTGTCCCTTCTTGTTGAGATCACCAGGTCTGCACATGAGTTCCAGGGCATGCCTGTATATATTGGCATATAGGCAATTGTTAGATGCTTAGATTAATAGCTCCAAACCCTGGCAGTATGTCTATATCGAGAGGCATTGTCAGGGGCTTGTGCAGGTGCATTCAATCACTTGCGAAGCTGCTGTTGGTGCTGACAGTTGTTGAGCAGTTTGGTTAAAACTTGTTATGGCCTGATTCTCAATGAGACACCAGCATGTGCGCGCGTTAACAGCCTCCCAATGGTTGGCTTCTCCGTATAGTGTTGTTGGTAGGTGCTGAGCAATTTCATATGTTGGTAACAAGGGTGTCCTTTGGCCTAGGTCATAACTTGCCTTTTGTTTTTCATGAAGCATGATTGTATCCAGGACAAAGTGTCCAGGGCCAAGAGAACCCTCGTCCCTCGTAATTGATCAGCTGTGCCGTGCGTGAGGCCGGAAGAAGGTTGCAGACCTAGACGAGCACGTCAAGAGCCAACACTCCTTCAGCTGCTCCAAGTGTGGACAGCGCTTCAGGCGTGCTGAGCTTGCCAGAATTGGGAGACGTTGGGAGCGTCAAGTCTTGGTCGGCCATCTCGATCATTCTCATTGGATGGGTTCAGAAACAATCAATCCAAAGTGGAGGCGACTTGTATCAACACGGAAGCTTGGGGTGGGCTTGGAAAGGATAAAGTCATGAAACGAAGGTAGTTTCAACGGAATCCCCAGGGATCAGTTTTGCCAACCCCTGACCTGTTTGATTTGGCATCACGCGAAGAACATCCAATCGCTTTTAGTGGCATGGGACTTCCAAAGCCAGCATAAAGTTATATCTGCATCTTCCCTTCAAACATTGCCAAGAGAACGCAACTTCCCTGGGACAGACTAGGCTCCTTGCCAACCACTGATGGCCAACCCTAGTGTTTGACTCGCCATTCGCAGGGACCAGCAGGGCTGGAAACACCACATGCGAGACCTGCACGGGCTGGCGGCAGCAGTGGCCGCACTAACCCGCGGTTCTGTGGGGTTGCGGTGTGTGCCCCTCATTTGTTGAGTCGGCAACCTTCAGACTGCACGGCTCCTCGGAATGTTTGAAATAGGGGAAGCCAACAAGGTGCCCCCGGCTCAAGTCTGGCTTTGTGTTTGTGACTTCTCCAGGATCCTGCCAACGAACGAACTAGCAAACAAGCACACAGACGGACGAAAACATGTGTGGTTGTGCGCAAGTGGGTGTGTGTGTGTGCGTTTGCGTGTGCGTGTGTGCTTGTGTGCGTGTGTGCGTGTGTGCGTGTGTGCGTGTGTGCGTGTGTGCGTGTGTGCGTGTGTGCGTGTGTGCGTGTGTGCGTGTGTGCGTGTGTGCGTGTGTGCGTGTGTGTGTGTGTGTGTGTGTGTGTGTGTGTGTGTGTGTGTGTGTGTGTGTGTGTGTGTGTGTGTGTGTGTGTGTGTGTGTGGTGTGTGTGTGTGTGTTTGTGTTTGTGTTTGTGTTTGTGTTTGTGTTTGTGTTTGTGTTTGTGTTTGTGTTTGTGTTTGTGTTTGTGTTTGTGTTTGTGTTTGTGTTTGTGTTTGTGTTTGTGTTTGTGTTTGTGTTTGTGTTTGTGTTTGTGTTTGTGTTTGTGTTTGTGTTTGTGTTTGTGTTTGTGTTTGTG